GGAGTATTTTTCACCTCATAGACTAGCCTAACCTTCTCTGTAGAACTTAATGTGTGTACCTTAAATTTGACCCTTAGGTAGAGTAACTGTATGTCCCCATTTTTCGAGGACAGTCCTTCCTGGTTTATGTCTGTTGTCCTGGAATAATTATTAATATGCCACTTTCTGTATCCTGATTTGGATGATAAATCATATGGCCAGCCAGTGCTTCAGCCTTGGTGCTTGCTACTGTTCTTCTGGACTTTTCCCCTAGCTTTTCTGGTGAAGGAATGCCTTATTGGCCTCAGCTCCCTCCAAAAGAGATTGTTCTCAATTTCCTAGACAGAGGTGTAGACTGAGGATTCATCTCATTAACTGCAGTGAATGCAGAGTTCAGAATGGGAAGAGACTTTAGAGACTGGTAGTTTGACTACTTTTTAAAGGAAGTAAATGATCTTTAACTGATGCAGAACAAATGACTTTCTTGTGGTCCGATGTTTGTCTTTCCTAGTAGTCTTCCTTAGAGCGAAAGGGTCTTGTTCTCTACGTCATCTCTTTCTAAACAAATTAGTTTGCTTGACGAACCCACTCATAGCCTATCATGACCAGGATTGTCCAAAAGAAAGCATATAGTTCTTTCTTTAAAGTAAGGGATTCAAGTTATTTTCCAAAGAAGTCATTCACTCTTCTTCATTAATGACTTTTCCAGGCTCTAGGGATTCTTAGTAAGTAACTTTTCCAGTTACTCCGATCCTTCCTTGGCTTTTCCATAATGAACCCCCATGGAGGAATGTAAGATATAAACTTTTGGAGTTTTGACCACCTGACTGTTCATATATCTTCTTTCATTAGACACACCATCTCAACTCAAGGACGCCAACAAGTATTTATGTAGGCAAAACTTCTCTTTGTATGAATTTTCAATGTCTAGATCTTAATAGCAGTTCTCTTTGTATATTTGTTAACGATTCTGAAATTCTTTCAACATAAATTTCTAAAACTTTTTCTTGTGACACATGCTGGAATTAGGATCATTTTGAGCATATTTCAATAATAAAGATGAAATCTGAGAATTAACAGTGTAATATTTTGTCTTTTACCCACAGTATGTTCTAATACAAATTGAGTGACTTTCCTAAGAAGCTCTTATCCAAATCAAATGTAGGAACCTACACTGCATCCACCTTGTAGCTATGCCATATGGGACATATGACTCTGGTATTCCAGGGAAGAGAGAACTCTGATAGTCATGCCTGGATTTTAATGTTCAAACTGGAAGAGTGGACATCACTTCCACTCATATCTCTTGAGCCTAAATTCAATCTCTTGATCCCATCCTAAATGCTGGGAAAGCTATGAAGTGTTGTCTTACCATGCCAGGAAGAAAAAGACAAAATGCGATTGGGTGAATACTCCGCATTATTTCTGCCACAGTCTCCTTCTTCATTGCTATGACTCTTGGTTCATCGCCATTCTCTTGCTCTTGGAGTTCAGCGTCTTCAAGGTGCTTACATTTGTTCTTCATATGTTGAATAAAATCATATTGTCTGACTTTGGAGTTCAGGTTCTCTTCGCTACCTTTGTGCAGATTCACCATGAAGGTGCTGAGTGAGAGGACTCCATAACAATATCAAAAGAGAATTTCCTTATTCCAGTTCTTCCACTCTCTTCCTTCTTGCTTTGAACTTCCATCCTACATTTATCTCTTTACTTCCAAAGGCCACCTCTCTTTCACCAGATAACCTGCATGAGAAGCACTATAGTAGCTGGGGTGTATAGCTTTTCTGTAACTTAAATGCCTAGAAAAAAGATGTTTATTTCAGAATTTAAAATGTTCAGAAATTCCTTTTCATCAGTTCCCTCACATTATTAGATAACTCAGAACCAAACGCCCAGTTGGCTGATCATCAAAGTAAAATGACAGTTTATACTTGGAACCATAATTGCTAAGTAGATCAGTATTAGCCTGTTAGAACATTCTGTTCCCGACAGGAAATTCTGCTAGGGAAACTGCAGAGGGGAGAGGTGGAGGAAAGGCCTTGGAGAGCATCTGCAGGCAGAGATTGCCAGACAGCTTATCTTCAGGCGTACAGAGAGACAGATGACCTGCTCCTTCTTTGCAGGGTGTGGCTGGAGACAGGCCACCACACCCCTAGCTGTTCAGTTCTGTTCCTCCAGTGTTACTTGCCCCTCACTGAAAAGTCTTGTTTTGAAATTACATTAAGACTTTTATAATGAGATTACATTTCAATTGGCATTAATTCACCTTCAGGAAGACTACAAATGCCCTTTTACGAAGAGACGGCGAATCTCATACATTTGTGCTGATTTGCTTAGTTTTGGTTTCAGAGAGTGGCATTCTTCATCCCACCTTCCCAGCACACGGTGTAGGCCTGTTCGCTCACTCAGCAAATGTTGGTTAGGCACCTGCTGTGCACCAGGCATCATGCCGCGTGCTGGAGTCCCTGTGATAAGTGAGAAACAGTGTTAAGGCAGGGATGGCTTTGGTCAGACAGGAGGGAAAGATGGTGCAAGTGAGGATGTGGTGCTATTTATAGGAGGCGGGAGAGAGGCGCCTCTGTCACAGGGAACATGTGGTCTTATGTCTGTCTCTATCTGTCACAGGTGCCTAGAAAAGTGGCTATTTCTCTTCTTTAAGATTCTCAACATCTGGGAGATAGTAGAAATAGGTATGTCCGTGATGGGCAAAAGACCTTGAAAAGAGAGAAATACAATAAAGTGACCTTTATCATATTTGGTGGTTAGTGGTTAGAATGTTATGATCTGCTTTTGTAATTACAAGCAAAAGTAGGGGTCTAAAATAGCCTTGTTTTCAACTGCTACAGGGATGGTGTGGTTGAGAATTTTGAAAATAATGAATTACCTCTAGAGCGAGGTAATTAAAATGCAGTTAGTGCAGCCTCTCTGCCTCTCGGTGTTGTGGAAATATTCCTGAGAGATATGTTGTCATGAACAGCCCTGCTTATGCACATTAACTGCTGACTTCATTAACTAGAACTGAAAGAAGTTTCTGCACCCTGCCAGGTTCTCCCAAGTATGGAGAGCTGAGAACTGTCATTGAAGAAAGTGAAAGTAAAAGTTGCTCAGTTGTGTCCGACTCTTTGCGACCTAATGCTCCAGGCCAGGATACTGGAGTGGGTAGCCTTTCTTCCCAATCCAGGGATTGGACCCAGGTTTCCCACATTGCAGGCGGATTCGTTACCAGCTGAGGCACAAGGGAAGCCCAAGAATACTGGAGTGGGTAGTCCGTTCCTTCTCCAGCGGATCTTCCCAACCCAGGAATTGAACAGGGGTCTCCTGAATTGCAGGCGGATTCTTTACCAGCTGAACCACGAGGGAAGGCCCCGTCATTACATCTGCTATTACTGAGATTTTGAGAAGGGAATGAGTAGATGGTACCGTAAGTTAAGTTAGTTTCAAATGTAGAATTTTCAATAGACACACATTTGGTTAGTAATTTCAATAGAAAAACCTGTCCAGGATACGAGCATCTGCCTTATTTCTGTGTTGTAAAGGTTACCCTTCAGCTCACACCAGAAACCAGGCTGGACCAGACGCTCGTGTGACTCCCAGTTACTCTGTTGATTGGCTCCGAGCCTCCTCCAGACCCTCCACACTGGGTCATAGTAGAACCACGTCAAGTGCAGCTCTCAAAATGATGCAAAATCCTTGAGTCCTCCCATCCTTTTGTTAAAGAAGCAGTGTCGAGATTTCCCCAACAAGAAACCCTACTGGTAGGCAGAGTTAGGGAAGACAGAATGTCAGAGCAGGCTTTCCTGAGACGTCGTCTGCTCCAGCCTTTTTTCTTTCAGAAGAAATGGAGACCTAAATATAGGGCACACCCTTGGCTCATCGTTGAACCCACTGTTGTCCTTCAGTTATTATTAGGACTAAGTGAGTTCTCCCTTGATAGTTCTTAGAGCAGTGGCTGGGATGTAATGAGTACTCAGTTACTGTGTGATCGCTCGCTACCATTTTTTCTAGTGGTACAGCTGAAACAGGAACCCAGATGCCCTAGCAGTTCTGTGCTCGTTTGGAGGCACATATTTTGTATTTCCTACCTTGTATAACGGGAAATGTGTTGGAGGAAGCTGAGTTAAAAATAGTGACAGCTGCAGTGCCCGTTACTGGGCACGTACTCAGCGCTGAGTTCTCGTATGGGTGGTTTCGTTTAATCCTGTTAGTGTCTATGCGATTCACACTCTTTTGTCTTCGTGTGACTCATGTAAAGGCTGAGCTGGGAACCTTGCCCATGGTCACACTACTAATAAGGAACTGGGCTAGGTTTTAAACCTCACTCTGACTTCAAAATCTATGTTCTTAACTATTATTTTGTCCCAGGAGTTAGCAAACTGTGGACCGCAGGCCATATCTGGCATTTCTGCTTTTGTAATCCTCGAGTGAAGAATGTTTATTAAATTTCCAAATTGTTGCAAAAAATTAAAGAAAAAAAACATTTCCTGATGAGTGAAAATTGTGTGAAATTCAGATTTCAGTGTCCATAAATGAGGTGCTATTGGAACACAACTGTACAGCCTGTAGTGACTTAGATGGTAAAACAGCAGAGTTGAATAGTGGTTATACAGACCCTGTGACTTGAAAAGCCTAAAATATTTTCTATCTGGTCTTTTCTCTGTACTCTTCCTCAATGATTGTTTTGAGTTTCCAGTTAGTTAGAGTGTAATTGTGAATTTTTATAGCGCTTATCTTCTCCTGTTACCTGCCTCTTTGTTCCATATTAACATATCAATCAAATGATGCATGTGTGTATAAAAAGAGTTCATCTTTAAGTTATCTGTATTTTACCCTTTTTAACAGATGGAGGAGTGATTTGTTGCTGGATAACAGTTGGCACTGTTGATGACATCTGTTCTGCCCTTACTATGGACAGGAGTGCTTCGTGGTTTACATGGCTCTCACATCCGTTTATTGAGCTGGTTATTTTTAAAACCTCCAAGTATCTTAGATGTGGAAATCACTGTATTTTCTTTCCTTTGTAGTGGTTTGCTGTCTTCTGATTATGTGGAGATTCACTATGAAAATGGGAAACCACAGTACTCTAAGGTATGGTCAGCAGCATATGGACATCCTATAGTATAAATATTCTTGTTCATAGAATGCTGTTCATTGCACACTGCATTGTTTTGCTGTCTGTCTCACTAAAATCCTGTGGCCTCTTATAAAAGCTATTATTTTTAAATTTAATATACATTTAGGATAAATTTATTAAAATTTACAAATGTTTGAGATAACATTAAATGCCCCAGTCAATAAAGAAATGTTCATTGTTTTGGTTATACATATGATATTATGTAAGATATCAAGACTTCTCCAGTTCCATGGCAGCCCCAGGCTCATGGTCGGAGAAACTGAATGATCAGACTGGAGGGGCTGTTGGAGGGACTGTTTAGTCCAAGGGACTTTATTGCCCAAGGACAGAGGACAGATGGGGAAAGGAAGATGTAGGGAACCTTCTCCCTCTCAATCTTCACAATAGTTCTGTGATGTGGGTAGTATTATTCCCGTTGTGCAAAGAAAGACATGCAGGCGGAAAGAGGACAAATAAACCTTCTCATGGCCACCAAGCATTGTAATATCAGTGCAATTGGGTGCTTGATTTCCTTCATTGGAGATTAACTGTTCTTTTCATAGAGAATCAATAAGGAAAACTGGGTTTAGATTAAACAAGAGAGAGAGATTACTTGTATGTAAGGAACACATTTGATCTCCCCTAGTCAGGGTGAAAATTCCCGGAATGGCTGTATCCAGAGAGAGACTCTGAGTTGTAGGAAGGTTACGGAGCACCTCTGAGCATAAGGTGTGTCCGTGGATGCCTCAGGCATGGGATGCAAACAGAGAAACAAAACAAAGTGGGGAAATATGACTGGATTTTGTTTCTTGATCGCTAATGAGCACTGGCACAAAAGTGTGAGCTTGCTGCGTTGTACAGTGTGGGGAACTGGGCTGGTGCATCTCATATCCTCTCTGCAGATATTTCTAGGTGGCTTGAACTAACTACTGCCCAAGGGTCATGGCATTTCTTAGGATTTATAATTGCCCACCTCACAGTGGGCACATTTGTAATTTGATGTATGTTCCAAACCTTTGAATTTTATGCCCCAGATTAAGAACTTCCATGTATTACCCTTACTAGTCTGTCACTTCTCGCTTTAGGCCGCATCTTGGGTGTTGTCGAATCTCCCTAAAAGTTAGTGTTGTGGAAAGTGAACAGAAATGCTAAATCAAGCTCGGGAACAGTGCTGCCTGGCATTTGTACAAACCAAAGCTTCTGTCAGCTGTGCCAGTGCTGTGAGCACTGCAGATGCTGAATCATGAGTCTGGAGAAGAGAAGATTGCAAGAGACCTTTACAGACTCAGCAAATGAGCCACCTTTGCAGGCCTCTGTAACCTGATCCAAACTTCTCACTTAGAAAGTTTTTTTTTTTTTTTTTTAAGGAAATGGAATAGCTAATTGGCCTCCAGAGGTCATTTGAGGTCCCAAATGGAGGTCCTATCATGGATTAGACATGTCAAATCTTGTATTAATTGTAACTGAAATTTAAAACAAAGAGTATTTTAGTGCTGACAAAAGAAGTATTCATTGCAGTTTCATGTTCATTTCTTTTTTCTTATTTATGACCCATTTTCTCCCAACAGCTTGTATACCCAAACTACTTGCTTCATATCTAATGAATAAGTGGTAGCAGTCTGTTTTTTATTTGCATGTATCTATATATGTGGGCTTCTCAGGTGGCACTAGTGGTAAAGAACCCACCTGCCAATGCCAGGAGACATAAGAGATGAGGGTTTGATCCCTGGGTCAGGAAGATCCCCTGGAGAAGAGCACAGCAACCCACTCCAGTATTCTTCCCTGGAGAATCCCGTGGACAGAGGAGCCCGGTGGGCTGCAGTCCATGGGTTCCAGAGTCGGGCACGACTGAAGTGACTTAGCTCACACCTGTGCCTCTCACACTCCCAAACCCAAGTTGATATGGTTTACATGATCCTGTGGGAGAAATTTTTTAAAAAAATATATACATATTTTATTTCATTAAACAATATAAAGCAAATTTTTAATGAAATATTTCAGATTAGAACATTTTTAACAAACATGGCAATGTTCTGTGCCAATTTGTACATGCTTTGAATTAATCTAAATTACATAATGATAAAAGATAAACCATTTAAGCATAAATGGATGAATGACATAAATGTATATTTCACAAAAGAAAAATACAAATGGCTGGTAAATTTTTTATAAGCAAATGCAAGTTAAAATGAGAATACAAATGGCATCTTTTAAAATGTTAAATTATCAAATTTCTTAAAAAAATCATAACATCCAATAATAGTCATAGTAATATTGGTGGGAGTATAAATTTGAGGAACATGTCTAGAAACAACTTGATTATAGTTATCAGGAATCTGAAAAAAAAGTTCAAATCATACAAATGGATCTTGAGAACTTGTTTAGAGGTTCCAGTAAGGGAATACAACTATTTATATATCCCTGATGGAAGAATGGTCATTCTTTCAACTTCCAGGAAAATGACATTAGGATTGATGAAGGAATAAAGAAATACCCAGCTCCTCAGACCAGCAGAATACTGGAAATAACTTAGGCGATGAAAGCTACAGCCAGATCATTTATATAACCCCTGTTGAGCTGTCCATTTTCCTTCTGAGAATCAAGTCCTAGGTAATAATCAGAACTTATACCCATATATTTACTTGCAAAGTTTTGGTAATTTACAGTAGAATAGAGAAAATAAATTTTTTTTAGCCTAACAATATTATAAATATTTTAACATGCATTAAAATTTCTGCTAAACTTTTGTTTTTAAAAGGTGTATAATATTGTATCCAATTCATTTGCTATAACTTGTTTAATCCCACAATGATAAACATTTAAAATTGCTTCTAATATTTCACTGTACAAACAACTTTAAGTGCTGGTGCTTAGTCACTTAGTTGTGTCCGACTCTTTGTGACCCCATGTGACCCCATGGAGCCTGCCAGCTCCACTGTCTATGGGGGTTCTCCAGGCAAGAAAACTGGAGCGGGTTGCCATAACTTTAAGTAAAACCTTTCTAAATATATTTTGTGTACTTCTTTAATAATTGCTTATGGATTACTTTCAAGAATGGAATTTTCTGGGTTAAAGAGTTGGTACATTTTTAAGGCTTTTGCCATGTATTCACAGTTTTTCTTTCTAAAATTTTGTATAAATTCATACTCCTACTATCGTTGCATATCTATTTTTAAAAGTGTGTCTTTAAACTTCACATTGTGTTCCATGTTAAGAAAATCTTCATACCGAATACCAGAATAGAAAATTAGTATGTAAGAATAGCAAGTTAAATAAGCCTGTTTTTACACCTTGCAACCTTTCTTCCAAATATCTCAAATTATTTAGACAAAAGTACACACGTGCATGCATATACACACACACACAATTATTCATACGACTAGGGAGGGACAGAATCACTAATAGCTTACTTGACTTTAAAGTGAAATATAAATGTGGACATTTAAAATATTCTGAGAATATTTTAATTTTCAAACAAAATGATGAGTCACACTTCAGAGATACTACATTGCTGCTGCTGCTGCTAAGTCGCTTCAGTCATGTCTGACTCTGTGCAACCCCATAGATGGCAGCCCACCAGGCTCCCCCATCCCTGGGGTTCTCCAGGCAAGAACTCTGGAGTGGGTTGCCATTTCCTTCTCCAATGCATAAAAGTGAAAAGTGAAAGTGAAGTCGCTCAGTCGGGTCCGACTCTTCGCGACCCATGGACTGCAGCCTACCAGGCTCCTCCATCCATGGGATTTTCCAGGCAAGAGTACTGGAGTGGGGTGCCATTGCCTTCTCCGATACTACATGTTTAGGTGTTCCCATTTCATGACTACCAAGCCCCCACCTAGTTCCCACTTTTAACTAAGAAGAGGTTAATGTCTTATGCTTTTATTTTTGTTGAATTAAAGTGATTTAAAGGGGCTTCTTTCCTGGTGAAGTGAATATAGGAACTGAGAGGTCAACAAATTAAGTAGGCAGGATAGAATAGGTGCCAGGTATTAGTAACTGCATATGAAAGAACAAGCTTTGCTTCTGCACCAGCAGTTCCTAGCATGATGCTTTGCACACAGTATACAACAAAACAACTTTGTTGATTTGTTGGTCAACTTTATTGATGAACCTATTAACCTAAGTTATTTTTTAGTGTATCAGTTCTAAAGGAGTTAAGCATCAATATAATGGTATAATAGTTTGTTTCCAATTTAGTATATTTCTATTAAATCCCTTTTAAGTGAACCATTCACTTTAAATGCTTGCTAATACTTTGGTTTCTCTTCTTATTAAAAGAACTACCAGCAGTGTAAGACTGAATGGATAGATAACAGTGGTTCTGTCCCCACCTCCGTTGTTACTCTTCATTTTTATTGGGTGGGGATATTGTCCTTTCCTAACGGTATTTTCTCACCCTGGTTTCTTCCTGTTTCTTTGCTCACTCTTGCCCAGGGAAGAAAGAATGCTTTAACTGATGGGAAGGAACTGAGCATGTCTACATAGTCCCTTCCTCTTTTTTGGGGGGTGAGATTCACCTCCCTACAGGAAGAAGACATTTTCTCTACTTTCCCATATTCTAAGTTGTTCAGTGGCAGCCTCTGTTTATTTTTGGCCGCCCCACTTGGCTTGTGGGATCTTAGTTCCCTGATCAGGGATAGAACTTGTGCCCCCTGCAGCGGAAGTGTGGAATCCTAACCACTGGACTGCCAGGGAAGTCCCACAATTCTATTTTAATATATTAAAACTCACTGAATCACAAAAGAGTGTCTCAAAAAAAGAAATCTCTCAGATAGGTAATGGGAGTTTATTTACCTAGTCTTTCAACAAACATGAATCCTTTGGTCCTTTAAGATTGGCTTCTTCATGAGCCTAAGTGACAAGACCATTTTTATTCATTCATTAAACAGCTGTTGATTTCACGCACTCTGATCTCATCATTGTTCTAGAAGCTGGATATGCAGTGGCAAACCTAGCAGATAAAAATCCTGCCCTTGTA